CCCGATCAACAAGATAGAGCAACAAGATCGTCCGAATACACATATGAATACACGGGTTCTATGCACGTACGTACATACGTACGTATAAAACGTACGTACAGTATCAGGTATGTTCAAAATGCGCCAAATCTTCTAATATCGATATGCATCTGATCTACTGTGCGCGAAAAAATTCATTCCAAGCCACGATTTACCCTTTTTACAACGTACTACGTACGTACGTACGTACGGCATTAAATGCTGTGAAACAATACAACAGGATTTAAATGTGTAACTAGAATCAAGTACGTATGTACATGTGAAAAAGAATTGTCAAAAAATGAATTTAAAAACTTATAGCGATAGTGATTTTGACGTAAAAATAATTGTTGGATATGGCCAAAATATTAAGGAATTTAAAGCACATTCAACAATTTTAAGTTCTCGCTCTCTTTATTTTCAAAGAGCTTTATCTGAACGATGGAATAACAAAGAACGTGATTTTTATGTTTTTAAAAAGCAAAATATTTATCCATATGTCTTTAAGATTATTCTTGAGTTAGTGTTATGCTTTTATTTAATTTCATACAGTTTATCTTTTATTGTAATTAATGCTAATGAAATTTTTTTTTTAAAAAAAAAATTTATAAGTTATATTTACGAAGAAAAACCTATATTACATGCATCTGGTAAAACTTCTTTAGATTTATTGGCTGCATCCGATGAGCTTGAACTTCTTAATCTTGCTGAACGTGTACAAGAACACTTAATTGAAAAGCAATCTTCTTGGTTATTCTCTAATCTTATAATATCACTTAATTTTATTTGTTACCATGATCACTTTCATAAATTATATAAATTTATTCTAAATTTTATTTGTAAAAATCCTTATTCTCTTTTTAATTCCAAACAATTTCCATTATTAGACAAGGTGGCTTTGATGTGTCTTTTAAAAAGGGATGATCTTGAACTTGAGGAAAAAGAATCTTGGGATTATTTGATTAAATGGGGTATTGCTAATTCTAAAAAACTTCTTGTTGAAAATATCTCAAATTTATCTGATGAAGAAGATATCTCAAATTTATCTGATGAAGATATTACAAGTTGGTCTGATAATCAATTTGAAGCATTGAAAGAAACAATTTCTCAATGCATTCCCTTAATTCGTTATTGTCATATTCAAAAAAATTATATTGATAAACAAATTAAACAATACCGTTTAGATCCAACTGCATTTATCAAATACAATACTTGTCAAAGAGGATTTTCTAGATTAATTTCTAATGATATTAAAGCTATAATCTCAAGTTGGATTGATCAAAAAAACAATAATCATTATACAAATTCTACTGATCCTTATAAGTTTAACCTTTTACTACGTGGAAGTAGAGATGGTTTTGATGTTGATACGTTTCATAAATTATGTGACTTTCAAGGTCCAACTGTTGTAATACTTAAGACTAAAATAACTGGTGAATTAATAGGTGGATACAATCCTACAAATTGGGCTAAATCTACTAATGCTATTAAACATTATGACGGATTTTTTAGATTAAAGGAAGCACCATATTTTAGCAAAACTTCAAATAGTTTTGTTTTTTTCATTTACTGATCCATCAAACCCAATATTGAGTAGAGTAATTACGAAAAGGAACGATAAGGCCATTTGGAGTGATAAATATCATGGGCCTTGCTTTGGAAATTCAGACTTATGCATGACGTCAGACAATTGGGAAAGTGTTTGTACAAACTATTCTTGCACCATAGCTGATTTATCCCAGTTTGCTGTTGAAGAATATGAAGTTTTTGCCGTTTATAATTTTAATTCAAGCAAAACCGCAACTCTAAAAAGGATTCAGGAGTTTGTATTTTATTATTTTGTCAAAATCTTGAACTTTATGTTATTATTAGTTTTAAATTGTATTAAGATTTGTTTTAACATATTTATATTGTATAGTATAGATTTAATTATAAAATATTTTATACCTTCTCCAACTTTACGTTGGATTTTATTTATTTATATTGTTATTGCTTGTTGGAGAGGAAATGACTTTTTAACATTGTTTTTTATATCGTTTTTTGTAATTATGAATTTTATACCTTCAACATTACATTGGATTTTATTTTTTATTATTGTCATTTTTGGTTTTATAAGAAAAGGTTCTTCAACATTGTTTTGTTTAGCATGGATCATACTATTTGTACAATTAAAAATTTTTATTAATTAAATAATATATATTTTATTAAATTAAAAAATATATTATTTAAAAAATAGAATAAAGACCTTTATACTATATTTTTTGATATAACTATACATAATAATTACACATTCTGTAAATTTTCGTTTACTATTTTGATTTTAATAACTTGGGTCTATATATTAATATTTAAATAATTGGGTTTTAAAAAAGTTAATATCTTTTTGAAAAACAGTAATTATTCACCTAAGTTATTGCAGTTTCAATAGTACATGAAAAATGTTACTCTCTGATATAGATATATAATTAGTCACTCATTTAGAATTAGTGTGATTATATCAAAAAGTAGAAAATAATAATCGATGAACGGAGTAAATCTCTTCCTCTATCTCTTTTGAATATAAATGTAAATGCAAATATTCGTGAGACTGTTGAGCAATATTGGAGATTTTCATCAACAAAAGGAAAATGACGAAACTTGATGGATACAAGCAGCCATAACAATTGTTTAAAAATATTTTGAAAAATCCGTCTTTCAGTGGGTATTTAATATTTTCAAATTCCTCGCATCAGCACTACAGAAAGAACTACACATACTTAAGAAAATAGATGAACGCAAATTCGCTATATGGTAAGCAATCTGTATAGCATGTCAAGCAACCGAACACGAAAAGTCAGAAAAATGAATTGCAGCACTAAGGCATGTTCCTGCAGGAAAATTAGTGAATGCAAAAAATTCCTAAATACATTGCCAAATAAAACATGAATATTTGGGCTGCCGTCAATGGAAATAAGGCAGATTGACATTTTTAAAAAAAAATCAATATTTTAAATTTCAGAGTTCATATCTCGATGAATTTTGAAGCTAACTTGATGTTTAAAATTTAAAAGAAAGTTTAGATCGTAAGCTTTCGTTTAGACTATTAAATCATTAAGATGGCCTCAAAATCCATCGAGATATGAACTGTGAAATTTAAGTATTGATTTTTTTAAACAGTCATTCTGCCTTATTTCCATTGATGGCAGCCATTTAAATATACACATATTTGTCTGGTATATAATTTAGTTGTATTTGGCATTTAAGCAAGCATGTAATAATTAGCATAGTTAAAAATCCATTTGATTGGCTGATGATTATTTGTTTTTTTAATCATTTTTATTGGCTAACAATCAATTATTTTTTTGATTGGCTAATAATTAGTTTTTGATTTCGCATATCGATATGGAAAATCTTGGAATAGGAAAACCTCGAACCGGAAATAGTTTATTGTTTCCGGTTTGAGGTTTTTCCTTGCCGGCACATTTATAGAAACCTTATTTTTAAAGTAATTTTAACTAGCGATTTTAGACAACTGCGAAAAAAGTGATTTCTTGGATTTTGGTTTTTAGAAATAGATTTTTTTTTTTCAGAAATAGCTAAACCTCATGTAAAACAAAAAAAAGACCCGTTAAATTCGAGTTAGCCTTAGCAGCCTTAGCAATTTTTTTTAACCTTAGCAATTTTTTTTTAGCTTTAGCCAATTTTCTAATTACCATCTAGGATTTTTAAAAATTATGAAATTGCGAAAAGATTGAAGTTATTAAAAATAATTATTGATCACTTGCATTTTGTATTTACAAATTTCGTGTGATGTAAAGTACATAAAACATTAGATATGTATTAAAACACGTCAATTGTATCAAAAATACTTCAATATAATAAAGTTTTCTAACAAATGCCGAGAAAAAAGATTAATAATGGGCCTTGCTTGGTTTACAACTGTAATAAAGATTTAAATCTTTTTTGGTGCTTAACTAAATTGGCTATGAAAAAAGCTTCCATTCATAGAACTATTCAACAGTATTCTTATCTAAGAGTAGGCCAACAAGTTTGTCATTC